TAATCAGGGATTTTTTTTTTTTTTTTTTTTTTTTTTTAATCTGGGATTTCTGTTTTTGTAGACAAGAGTGTTTTGTCCTGGGTGGTCTTGTCCCGTCGTTTGCCCTGTGTAGCAAGGAGGGAGGGGCGGTGCTTGCATGTGGGACTTGTCATCTAGGATCAGTTTTCTGTGTTGTTGCTTATTGCCCCCTGTTTTGTTGTATTTGGCTGTTTCCTTCCTCTCTTCTTTACCTCTTTGCCCTTTGGCTCTGTGCAAGTGGGTCGATATGACACACGGAGGTGGGGGCAGCCGCCGCTGAACCTTCATCCACTTGGGCGGCCTTGTACGCAAAAGAGGTTCTTTCTGAACAGGGGGAGTTGTAAGGAAGAAAATTAAAAATAAATTGATATCTTTTTTGGTTTTTTTTGCTCTTTTTCGCTTTTACGCTCTCATATTCATGTGAAGATATATATATATATATATATATATATATATATATATATATATATATATATATATATATATATATATACAGGGTTACCTGACCGAACGTTCGGGGGCCCCCCGGGCTGGCCCCCGAACGTTCGGGCGTTCGGGGTCCCGTTCGGGGGCCGAACACCTCTAGGTTTGGCCCCCGCCAAAAAAAATTTCAAGGCCTAAAAATAAGTTTTTTTTTCTGAGTTGTTTTCTATGAGTTCTCTGCATTGTAACCTACACACCTATAAATTTGGAAGTCATTCTGCTAAACCAAAAAAACATTAAAAATCGTCAAAGATGGGGGTGTCAAAACATGCTCGCCCACTCACTATTTTGGTTTTTTTTCACTTTTAACTTTTTGTTTTCACTTTATTTGGGGGCCTAAAATAAAATATTATTTTTTTGAAAAATATTTAATGAGTTATTGATTATGCAAACTACATATCTGTAAATTTTCAGGGCATTTGTCAATGCCAAACAATAATTAAAAATCGGCAAAGATGGCGGTGTCGAAAAGGTGTTGGCACACTCACTCATTTTAATTCTCTTTTTATTTGTTTTTATTTTTATCATCGCAAAATCAAAATGCTATCAGATTACCCAAGGTGGTGACGAAAGAGGAACCAATCCGATTAGCCGACAGACTCAGGGTTGAGGCCTCCAACACTCCGTGCCGACATGACTATATGCTGCCAGGGTTTCAACCTGGGTTTTCAGTGTCCCGACGTTAGGACGCAGGTGTATTACGCATCAATACTATAGCATAGTTCCAAAGGCCACCTTAACCCGCCTTCTTCCTTTCGTCCTAGACAAACGCCGGCTTATCGTTGAGTGTCCCAGTTAGACTCTCTTTCGCAAGCAGAGTCATACGGGACGCGGACCTTAGATGAGACCACATAAGACACTCTCGTCTCCCTCGCGAAAATCCTCACAATCAAACATACATATATATACATAAACCTCCTCTCAGCTCTTTCTGCAGTCTAGTACAGAAACGCTAGGTCTCCATCCTGGCCCACCGTAGTCTGGTTGATCGGGCCAGATCTACGGCCCACCGCATTGTTATCTTAGCGGCAGTCCCTTCGTTGGTTATGCAACGATAGGTTTCCTCCTGATAGGCATTCAATTAGGGCGCCCGAACGACTCGACTCGTATCCCCCGCCATTCCACCAAAGTAATTTCCTTGGGGCGTGCATAACCCCTTAAACCTTTACTTCGTTGGTAGACGTGGGCCCGCAGCCAGGTTGTGCTGGCTTGCAGTCATCCAATAGGGGTTGCGCCCTAGAGGTGCTAACCTTTATCGTTTAGCTTGGTATTCCCCAATATGCCTTAGGATTAGCACAAGTGTCTGAACGGTGGGTCGCAAAACAGACCACAGACCCACTGCGGGACTACGCAGGGGTCCGTCTCACTTTAAAGGCGTTTACCAGCTCCCTATGGGACGTCATAGAAAGCATGGCCCCTTTTTACAATCACAGACAAATTCCCCCCAGGCTCATACACAAGGCCGTGGCCTGCTGACTTGATCAGAGACAGTAGGCCACACATGTCATGGCTATGCACTAACTTGCGACCTTCTCAGTTCCACCAATGACCCCCGCTGTAATTCTGATCCCTTTCGTCGGACTTTATCAACTCAAATACTGCTTACCATACCCTTAAACCCACTAACCACCTTTCACACGAAGGAGGTCCCTCTCAATAGGGCTCCCAGCCATCCCTCTCTTCTTAGGATGAGCTATCACACGACCCTTTTTAAACACCCCTTGTTTTCTGGGGATGAGTCTCCCGACGAATAACACTACCACCTTCCTCAATTTGAAAGGGTCTCAGCCATAAAACAACTCAACCACAGAACCACTCAAACTGAGAGGCCTGCTTATGGGTCCCCTTTTCGCAACTTAACCATAAAACATCCGGCATGGTAAGTACTCGAGTCTCAAAGACTCACAAAAATCCCTTGAGATTTTCACGCTCTCACAATAACAGACTGCACCCCCTCTCCTTATACTCGGCCCTATTCTGCCCATGGGCAGACTGCACGAGTATACCGAGGAGTAGGCAGTTCACAATCATTCATTCTCGCAAGATCCACGCAATTCATGAGATGCTCCTCATACATCTCTCACACAAAACCATCATACATGAGGATAAAGCCACACAGGTGAGAGTGATGGTGATCGTCACACGAGTAAGCCCCGCAGGGTCTAGAGTCAAAAATATATTCGGGAGCAAAATATCTCCTTTAAGCCTTAGTACATCACTCAGGTCAGGTTCTCGCACACACAACTCGCAGGATGTACCTAGGACAACGATGCCTTCCCCAATGACCAACTCAAACATAGGGTTTACCGTTCTACTCTACAGGGTGGACTCACATGCCAGGGGTTAGGGCTCTCAAAATCCGATTAAAAACGTAAACAAGGTTTCCAGAGCTCCAGAACTAAAGTTCAAGCACATAGTCACAGGTATCTTACAACTGAATCTCATCTACCGAACTTGTATCATGCACCAAATCCAAAATCCAAATGGGCCCTGCCATCTAACTAGACAGGACTCTCGCGACAAACCCAAACGTGCACACCCCTAGAACCCACTCAACCGACCCAGAGTATGTACATCCCTAAACTGAACTCCGTATACAGAGGAACTTTGGTCCTCCTGTCACATAGACAGACCAGCTCCTACTCGCTCATGACCTCCTTGTTCTGCCTATATAACTGCGCCCTACCCCCATCTGAAGCCCGCTCTACCACTCGCCCTAGTCTGTCGTACATCCTTCCACCACTTTCCGTCACTTTCCCAGCTGCCTTGTCCTTAAGGAACTTTGGGCACTCAAGAGCCCTATGTACGTCGTCCTTGCAGAAGAAGCACTGATCGTCTGGCCTCCCCCGGCATCTCCTCCTCTTTTTCTGACTCTCCGGCAGCGACGGTGCCTCACTGGCCTGCCTGCCCCTCTCGTGGCTCTGGGGCATACTTCATGACTCTGTTGGTCCCCCCTCCATCATCTGAGTACTCGGCCTTGCTAGCATTTCATCTCCCTCAGGTTGGTACACGGGAGTGTCCAATCTCATCGGCCTACCTTCGTGGGTCCCTTCCATCGCAGTCATCTCCTCGCCCCCCCCGTGGGTCAGGAGGCTGGGGGATCATGGCAGTCGCTGATCTGCTCATAACTTCCTGCTGCTGCTCTGAGATGTGCTCTCCTAAGTCAGTCCCAGTGGCCCAAGAGCCTAACCGCGTTCTCAACTCCCCGGTCTCTGGCGCACACTCCGGGGTCTCCTGTCTCTGAGGCCCTCCCGACGGCATGTCCAGCTCCATGGCTGCCACTAGCTCATCCAGTCGGGATGCCTCTCCCCCCGCTGCCTTCAGCTCAGTGGATGTCGCTTCTCCCGTCAGGGCACCCCCCTGCACCTCCAAAAGGATCATAGGGGACTCCTCTGTGGGGCCCCCCTCCACCACCGGAGGTTGGGGTCCCTGCGTCGTCTCGTCCCCAGGAATCTCAATTGTCATAGGGGTGGCCTGCTGCGAGGCCAACTCCGTGGGAGTCCTGAAGCTGAATCTCCCCTCCTCGGCCTCCCGCCTTGCTGCCGCCTCTGTCAGATCCAGGAACACCTTCCCCATTCCCTCTCGTTGCGGCGTCTTTGTTGTTCCTTCCTGGCCAAAGAGCCCCTGTACCTCCTTCCCCTGGATACCATACCAGCTCTGCTTTGTCCAGTCGACCACCTTAGTGGCCGAGAGCCTCTCTACCATCGCTGCCATATCTCGGAGCCTCTTTTCCCATTCCGCCTCTTTGGCCTCCATGCGGGACCTCCACGCTTGGTTCTCTGTCCTCTCTTCCGCCAACTGGGTGGACAACTGCCCCACCTCTAACCTCGAGGCCGTCAACTCATCGCTGAGCATGGAGTACCGTTGGAAGGACGAAATTGCCACCTCACTTACCCTCCTATCTGCACGCTCAATTTCCATCCTGGCGGCTGAAAATCCCAAGTCCTCCGTCTCTCGTGCCTCGTCCAATCCTGCACGCCCCTGTCCTTCCTCTCGCGACCTCAGGCGAGCCGCATCCCTCTTGCTCTCATAGCTGGCCCAAGCCTCACTAATCCTCTGCTCGCTCGTCGAAGGGTCAACTGGCGGCTTTGGCGCTTCTCCTGCGGCCTTCATTCTAAGCTTTTCCCGGTAGAGCTCTTCAAGGCGTACCTGTACCCTCGCGTGTTTCTCTTCTTTCGTCTCTCCCGATGGCCTCTTTACCCTCGCCTCATGAGCCCCTCGTAGCGGGCCTCTCTCACTCGTCCCCTCCTTTGCGGGTGGCGGCTCTGGCGGAGGCTCCTCAGATATCGGCACCTCCACGTCCATGCGTTCCCCCACAGGCTCAGTCAGTTGTGGCGCCGCGGTAGCAGGCTTCCTCGCCCTCTCGCCCTCCTCTGGCCCCGTCCGCGTCGGAGGTGGCGTAGTGGCCCCCAATGGTGGTATCGAAATCTCCTCGCTACCCGGCTCGGGGATTCCCTCAGACCAGTGTTGTGGTAGGTGCTCCGGAATCGGGGTAGGCGGAGGGGTATCATCTCCAACAGTAATAACCCCCTCAGTCTGTGGCTCCTCGGGCCCACGAGGCCCCGCCTCATGCCGCTCCTCCCCCGACTCCTCCGCTATTGGCTCATACTGGGCCGGCCCGCCATGGTTTGCCCCCAGTTGTGACGCCCCCCATTGGGACGCGCCGAGGTGGGCCTCCAGCCTGTCGAACGGCGTCCTGAATGGCATGACCTCCCTCTCCTCTGGTAGCACAGGCGATGAACCCTGTAGATCACTGCGCGTGCTCCGATGAAACTCCACCTGCTCAAGTCCGTGAGTAAGGGGTAGCCCTGCTACCTGAGCCGGCCTCGCAGCCTGAACAGGCTCCACTGTCTGGGCGGCTTCCGCTGGCCCCTCTCGCTGTGCCAAGGCCTTTCGGCCCCCTCGGGTCGTAATGGCCCCTCTCGCCTCTGGGTCTCGTGGCCTCTTACTCCTCTGTCGCCTCTCTACCCTGGGCTCCGGCCTCTCGGGCTCCAGTCGTCGAAATGCCCGCCTCAACTGGGCCTGACAGTCCTCCCAGTCGTGTGCCCTATCCCGGATCTGCCTTTCCAACGACCTCTCTGCCCTCCGTGTCCAGAGGGGCAGCATCTGCATCCACTCTTCCTGCCCAGTCCCCTGGTCGCGCAAATACTGCTCATGGGCCGGGATGAACTCCTCCACATTGCCTTCCTCCAATCGAATGGGCAACCCATCCGGTCCCATCGGCGAAGCCCTCAACATCTGCATTCCTGCCTCCACATCCCGCCTTGTCAACGCCTCCTCTCGAATGTGCGCGATAGGCTCCTCGAAGCGCCCAACTCCCCTCAGGTGCCGTATCCTTTCCAAGGTAGACCAGCCCTCCCGTGTCGCATGTGCCTGGTAGGAGTCCAGGAAAAGCTCTATGTTACCGTCGTCGAAGATAGGCGTAGACTCCCTCCCAACCGGTCTGCGCGAGTCATCTTCTCCCGATACTTCCTGAGGTCTCTGTCGTGGCCGCTTGCCCCTCCCGCCCCTCTACATGGCTGTCTTCGAAAAGTCAGACCTGCACAGCAGGCGAGAGAAGGCAAGCAGGCACACAACAAGGTTAGCCCTCGGCTTATCAAGTTTTAATGAAAATATACATGCCTTTTCCTACTTTCTCACTTGTCCTAACCATAATATGCGATACCTCAAGGACCCGTCTACTCTGAGAAAGGTAGAATTCTTTACCTATTCCCTGGCCACGAACTTCTTCAGCCTGGTCCCTGATACCCAATCCTGCTAGTCTGTCCCGTCCAGCTCCTCGATCTGATAGGCCCCAAATTCGCCGCATCGTAATATTCAATAGGGCCCAACCATCTCTTGTCAAGCTTCCTCGACCATTGATTTTCCAAAGAGGAGTCGTATAATAATACGACATCCCCTACTGCCAATGGCTCCTTTCTTACTCGTGCCATCTGGTCCCACCTCATCTTATCTTCCATGCGACTCCTTTCCACCTGACCAGCGGCCTCTCGCAATCTTTCTTCGGCCGCTCCCACTTGCCGCACCCGAATATCGAGCAGTTCTTCAAAAGACAGGTCTACCTCCAAGTCCAGGCGCCTCCACGTCTTCATAAAGCTTTCTATGGGAAATGTAGCGTGCCTTCCGTACCATAGCATGGCTGGCGCATACTTGGTAGTCCTCTTTACAGTAACATTATCCACGAAGAAAGCTGCCCGAAGGAACTTCGGCTACTGACCAGGTTTGCCCTCTGTCCACTTAGCCAGGAGATTCGTGATGGTATTGTGCCCCCTCTCCACAGGAGCGTTCGCTTAAGGGTGTGCGGCCGTAGTATAGTTGGTCACTACGCCATACCCTGCAAGTAAGGTCCGCACCTCATTGCAGGTAAATCTTGATCCCCGATCCATCACGAACTCCTTGACAAAAGGATAGCGCATGTAGTATTCCTCGATGCAGTTGGCCAGAACTGGGCCGGTCTTCGTCCGAATAGCCCGACCGTCCACAAACCCAGTAAGGTTATCCCGTGCATCGAAGATATAGTTACACCCATTCTCCCCCACCGGCATGAACAGTAGGTCCAGGTGTACGACCACACCCACTTCCCTTTCCAGCCTTGGGTGCAGGGGTTCCCCCGACCTTTGCGCTGACCTCTCTTGGCAGGGTACACATGACTGGCAGTACTTGATGACCATAGTCAGCATTTCATCCCAATGGTATAGCTCACTTATCTTTGCGCACATGGCACTAACCCCTCTGTGCCCCCCTGCTATACCGTCGTGCAAGGCTGCTATGACATCAATCTGTCGGTTCCTTCCACATACAATCCTCTTGGGGTTCCCAACTTGTCGCTTTATGAACAGATGGTCGTCTCTCATTACGTAGAGGTGCCTCATCTTCTGGGCTTTGGCACTTGCGTCCCTATCCCTCATTTCACATGACAGGAGTAACCCCAACTCGCGATAAATTCCGTCATACTCCTCAGCACGGAAGGCCTCCCTAATCTCCCCCTCTTCAAACTCGTCGTCCTGGCTTTTAGGAATAAGAAGCTCACCTTCCTCGGAACCGACAGCGCTCCTCCGGTCAAAATTCCTCTGCAGGAGCGTGTTAGTGAGCAAGTACATTCCTCCCATTAGTTGCTCATGCTCCTCTGCCTGGGTTGGGCCTTCCTCTATCGTCCTTACCTCCTCCGCTAGACTATATATCCCTGCCAATGCCAACCTCATCATCCAGCCAACCTCCTTACTCCCCCATGGATCTTCTTCTTGGAAGGGCTTGAGGACCAACTCCTTCTTCTGCTCGTACCCCTTTGGTGCTAGCCATATAGGATGCATGACACAGCTTGGCACCCTCAGCGACCACTCATTTATGTGAAGGCGGACATCTTCCTCCTGATCCAAGAACCCATCGACTGGTGGGGTATCCTCAATTGACTCTTTGCTCGTCTTATCCCAGTTAATACGGCTCAGCCCATCTGCCCTGTTCTTGTCTCCTGGGATCCTCTCCAATTCAAAGTTAAACATCCAAATGTAGATCAACCACCTCACGATGGTTGGGTCAGATGGAGTATAACTCTTCAGGGAACCCGCGCTGATAACTCTTCAGGGAACCCGCCAGCGCGGTAGGGTCCACCCTTAGAATGAGCCTCCTGCCAAAGATGTAGTTACGGAAGGTCCTTAGGCAATGGAGCACCGCCAACGTCTCTTTCTTGAACTGCGAATAGTTCCTTTCAGTCGTATTAAGGGTACGGCTTTCAAACCTCAGCGGCCTCTCCTTCCCAATAGTATGTGCCTGGATCAGGACTCCTCCTAAGGCAGTAGGCCCAGCGTCCGTCTCGACAATGAACGACTTCTCCTCTGTGGCCTCGTAGTTTGGCGCCCCTAGCACCAACCCTCCTTCTTTAAATTCTCTCTTCATCCCATCCACAGCCCTTTCCTGGTCTTCGCCCCAGACCAATTCCTGATCCTGACGTACCAGCTTTCTTAAATGTTCCATCTTGGTGGCGAAGTCCTTTACAAAACTCCTCCAAAACCCACAGGTCCCAAGGAAACTCCTCACGTCCGTTATTGACCGAAAAGGGACTGGCCACGCTAGGATCTTGTCCGTCTTCTTCACATCTGGTCTCCGCCCTTCCTCGTTGCAGACAAAGCATAGAATCGTGGCCTCCCTCATGCAATGCTTCAACTTGGGGCAGCTCGCCGTCAGGTTATGCTCTTCCAGCAGACCCAAAACCTGGTCGATATCTTGGACGTGCTTCCAGACAAACCGCCTCACTCCTGGCATCACTTCGTCTTCCTCCTTCTCCTTCGGACCCTTGACCGCCAAGTCGTCAATGTAGGGCTGAGTAATATGTGGACTAACCGTTTGCATGGCCCTAATCATGTGTCTCTACACCATCGCCACCGCATTAATCCACCCCTGAGGCGCCACGTTCATGTGAATCAGTCCCCTTGGCGTATGCATCGCCGTCACCGGCCTTTCCGGTGGGTACACAGGAAACTAGTCATACCCAGAGTAAGGGTCTATAAGTGAGACTATAGGACTTCCTGCGCATGATTCTGACAGGGCGTCCACGTTCGGCAATCCTCCCGCGTCCCGCACCGTTACTGCATTCAGCCGTTGCAGATCCTGCACCCACCGTAGCGTTCCATTTGGCTTGATAAAACAAAACCAAGGGAACGCATACGGTCCACTGGAGTAGTCCGCCACATAGTTCCTCATCTTCCCATCCAAGTAGTCTACCACCTTCTTCTCCTCATCCGGATTTAGGTACCGCGCGCCCCTAAGGGAGGTTCATTTCTCGGGCCTCTTTACACATCACCCTTAACCGTTCCTGGTACATGCCCACCTTCGCAAACAGGTCCTCCATCCTTTCCAGGATGGTCAAGGCCGACTCTCTTACCCCCTCCTGCGCCTCGTCGTCGGACTCAACAACTATGGGCTCTTCCTTTACAGTTCCTGCCTTTAGTCGTTGCGTCACTTCCTCGTTTTCGTCCACGATTTCCTCGATTCTCACACCTGGATCCTGCTTTTCTTGGCATATTCTAAACATAGCCGGGGCTGCTGGCGGCCCTGCCGCCGCTCGCCTGAAGGCTTCCTGCTTGATGCCTCCTTGAGTCTTGGGGTCAATGTGCTTCCCCCATCGATCGTATATGTCCCCGTCCATACAGGAGGAAATCAGCCCTGCCAGCTCGTCGTCCCGTCGCTGCTGGCAGAATCGCACAGTGTGGCCCACCTCGCCACAAGGCCAGCAAGTTGCATTCCTCCAGTCAAAGCGCGGCCTCCCGTACCCTTGGCCCCCTTGCTGGCTGCCCTGACCACCTTGGTTTTGGCTCCCTTGACCATTCCAACCTCCACCACGGCACCCACCATTTCCCCCTCGCCCCCGGCCACCCCCTCCTCGACCCCCTTGGCCCCGACCTCCATTGCCTTGCCCGCCTTGCCCTTGGCCCGCTCCCCCGGCCACACTAGCCTGCGAGGCCTGTTGGGAGGGCGGCGGTTGGGCCACAGGCTGGCCTTGCATCGCGGGGTAGCTCGGGGGGCCCATACGTGCTGATGGGCCCACATAGGGGACCATGTGTCCCGTGTGGGTTTGGCTCCCTCCACACGAGGCGCAATGGTTGTAACTGGGTCAGGGCGCAGATTGACAATACGGCACCCAGTGCCCACAGGCTGGTGGCGGCCCCATGTGCGGTGGTCCCGCTGGCGCTGGCGCGGCCGTGGTGACAGGCGGTGGTGCGGCAATAGCTTGGGGAGCCTGCCCCTTCCCTGACCCTTGCCCTCCTTGCAACAAGTTGCGCTGCTTCCTCTGGGCCTTAGTCAGGGCTTGGGAACCTGTCTCCCCTCCGCCATAGTCTTCTTGCCAAGCCTCCTCATCTACTGCCCCTGACGCCCGACCTTGGGCCACTAGCACCCCTCTCTTCTGTATCTCTGCTTCATTGTCATACCCAGTGCCGGCAATACGTCTGTGACAATTCTCTTCACCCCTGGGGTCCCGGATGCAGTAGCATCCCTCTCCTTCCTCTTGCGTCTTTGCAACCTCATTTGGTGTTGCTCCACCTGGTCTAAACTCCCTTCTTCCACACCCTTGTCAATGGTTGCCCAGGTGAGCCTCTCGCTTCCTTCCCCATATTTCGTCAGCTCTGTAGCTTCCGAGCCTGTGAGCAGCCCCAAAAATGTGGCGCATTGCGCCTCCTCAGAGATCCCGTGCACTTTCCTTGCCTTCTTCTTAAACTCGTGCAAAAACGCCCCAATGGTAAAGAAGTCTTCCTTATTCATGGCCTCCAGGTCGGCCATGGTCAACAGGCCGTCCCCCAACCTATACTTCCTTCGCATGAGGTCCCCAAACCTTGCCCAACTGCCCCTGGCGGCGTCCACGACCTTAGTTACCTCCCGATGATGGCTCTGCAGGACATACCTCAGGACCCGCTGGAGCTTAACCTCGTCTGACAGCCCCACTAGCGCCTGCTCTGTCAGATCCAGCCAATCAGATACCCGGTCCCCTTTGAAGTGGAATGTCTCCACCTTTAGGACGTTGCTTGGCGCCCTCTCGCGCTTGTCCAGGGCATCGATGAGGTCATCGAGCGTCACAAGCTTCCTCCCGCCGTCCGCCATCTCTTCCGGCATCTTGACCAACCGCCTTCGACTTCAACCTTCCTATTATAAGAGACGATGGAACAGAGGACCCCGCTCAGTGACTCAACCTCTCATGACCCTATCGGGTTGACCACTTTAGACACCCCACATTCTAGATCTGGCAGACATTCCTTCTCCTTGGGCTCACCATAGGACTTCCTCACACACTTACTTTATTCAAGCCGTCAGCCAAGCCGCCAAGTAATCAATCATCCAACCCATGGTCACATAGATCATAGCCCTCTTCCTATTCGCTCACATGCCTAGTTTCTCGCTTACTCCCATCCCCGGATGTCGTTCCACCAGGGACAACGGTAGGCTTCCGTTATCCCCAGCAACGGCGCCACTTGTCGGGCGCATCGGTCCGGCACCGCTCATGGCAGCGCGGGACCCTCTCGGCCACGTCACCCAGGAGTTGGGCCAATCTCGACACGAACGTGCAAATGGAGCTTCCTTAGGCCAGTCCGGCCGAGTGCGCCAGCCATACCTCTCGCGAACCCCTACGACAGGATAGGGCCTACGCGAGGCACAACTTACCTCCACCTTACGGGAGCTGTCACCTCCCTTCGGTGGGCGTATCCCCGCCGAGCTACCAGTCCACAATACGAAAGTTGATTAGTTGCAATCGCAGAGGTGGACCAGCCGAGGGCGTTTCTCGTTCGCTGTAGCATAGGGGGTACGCGCAGTAATACACCTATCGGACCCGCACGTGAACCAACATCTTGGGGGGGCTGAAGTCCCAAGCATGGCTCGACGCCGGTCGACTAGGACGCATCCCACACACCACGCGCACACCGCTCCACGAACACAAAAAAAATTGAGATACACACACACACGAGACGACACAACACAAACAACGCGACAACGCTCCTAGCCCCTCGGTAGCCAACCCATAATTTTCCGATGCGGAAATTGGGTAGGCGTCGCTCGTGAGGCTTAGTATAAGACTACGCGGGCGCGGGGTTCACTCGTATCAACTCGCAAGACAAGCATACGCAAGCACTCGCAACGATGGCGTACTATGTAGTACCCATTAATCTCGAGGGTCGCGATCGACACTCAAGTGTCGGCTGACAGACGCCTTAAGGGGTGATCTCTTGGCGCCAGACAACCGCCATGCGCGGTTGAAGGCCACACCCTCTTCTGCACCATGTGAAGAGGGGTTGAGTAGACAACTTTTAAGCTGTCGTGGCGGTCAAACATCAAGGGGTTTGACTTTGACGGCTACCACGGACTACAACGTCCAACTATGAAAGCGCAAAAAGGAACCCACTCCAATTCTCACTAGCCGGTGGCCTTCAGGAACAGAAGGGGGTGGGCAAGCCCAAAACAACGTGCACGCGGAGAAAGCCCGGTACGCTACGCCTGGGCTACCCTACGTCCAGGATAACGGGGCCCGTATACGGGCTCTCATAGGCCTACCAGGACTGATCCTCCGCCCACGTGCCGCTTCACGTTGCCTAAAATCCCAGGTTCGTCGGCCGCGCCGCGCTCATGGTCTCGCCGCCTAACCCATAACTCTTTGGATGCGGGATGCGACGGCTGCCATGCGCGCGAATTTAGTATAAGATCGCGAGGCCGCTGATCTTCACACATACTATCCCGCTATGCAGCTCTACGCGGGTAACTGCGATGGCGGCGCACTATGTAGTGCCCATACCCAAATGGCCTATTTTGAGCCATGCGGTCGCTCCCGACGCTCAGGCGTCGGCTAAACTGCACGCCACAAGGGGGTAACTCTCTAGTGGGCGCAAGACCGACATGGGGGCCTTACCACCTTCACCACCCTGAGGTGTCCCAAAGGGTGCGGGGTGAGGCGGGCCCTAGGGCGGGAAGGGGTTTGGAGCGGTGATGAGTTGTCTGGCGCACCGCCAGTGGCCCGCTGACCCTTCCGCCCGGAACTTTATCGTTCCACCAAGGTAATTCCCAACAAGGAAACGTATATATATATATATATATATATATATATATATATATATATATATATATATATATATAAATACGTATATAGGGGGTTGTTTATGTGACGATCACTTCTCACAATCATAGTGGGTCTCCTCCTAGCCATACATGTATGCACGACCGCAAGGCAGTCCAACCAAACCCCAAGCCACTGAGCATACCTGCAATCACATCAAAAGTCAGACAGAAGTCCACACACTACACGGAGTCAACCCCAACCAGTTCCTATACTCATACCCCTCGCTTTAGCCATGCAAGCCCCAACCTCCGGCCAACCAACCTTAATTAAATACTCAGTACCTTTGTTAAATGGCCATTCAATAAAAACCCGGGTGAAACTTTAACAAAACAGAAAGCCACCAGGGCTAAAGCCTTTTAGGTTGAGCATGGTGTGTGAGTTGGGATTGAGTCGCGAACCGACGAATCGGCAACCGACCTGTTATCAGTGCTAACAGAAGACGATCCTTATAGGATCAGCTGACGCTAGTCCAAATCCTGAGTCGAATATCCAAAAAGGGTCTGTGCCATAAGACAGGTCAATGCCCAAGCTAAATCATCAGCATATGGGGGAGTAATCCTCCATAGCACATTCTCACCCAAGTTACTTGCCAACTAAATCAAAGCCTACCCCTAAGCCAGGGCCCAAGCAAAGGTAGGCTAACGGCAGGATCTTCCCTATTCAGGGTGGATCGCCAAAATCGCTACCTGTCAAAATGTAATCTAACTCCTTTAAACTAAGAAAATTTTGGCAGCGCTTCCCGTAGAAAAAGTGTCTTTTCAGAATTTATATCAGCCCGAATCTGAAACAAGATATAGACTTTGATTTTTCAAAGTCCAAATTTGTCTAACTCCCTGACTGAGCAAAAATTTGGGCAGCACTCCCTTTAGAAAAGGAGACTTCCCATA